CAAACCCATTTCTTCTCTTGCAAGAGAAAGTATTTTTCGTCTATCATATTTAACATTAACCCACCAGTTATGGGCACTCCATGCATGTTGACATCTCTTACTCATTTTCTTCCAAATTTGGTCCGAGTAATTAGGTAACTTATCACCATAGATTTCCGAGAATTCCTTTAAAATTGCCACTGCAACGTCAACAGTTAATTTATTTTTTCTTGGCATTTTTATAATATATAACGTATAAGTATCAATCGTATATATAATAAGATTCTTTTATTAAAATTTAATATGAAAAACTTTCTAAGACTTTATTAAGATATTGCAGTCTGTTCAACAATCAATATTTCTCTTTGATACTCTTTTGTTTATCCATGATTAAATGTGACAGGCAAATGTTATGGCGCCTTTTTTAATTTGGGCGTACAAAATTTTCGTTACTTGTCTGTATTTATAAATGAAAATTCTTTATAAAAATTATTTTTTATAAATAAAAGTTATTATTTGTGAAGAAATGAGAAAAAATTAATAATAATTTAATAACATATGTATAAAATATACAATTGTATACGAAATTATATACAAAATATCACAAAATGTAATATCAATTTTATTTAAAAGTACAGCAAAAATGAAAATAGTAAGTATAAGAAAAACATGAACTTAAAAAATTATCGATGTAACAAATTTTATCCTATTAACAAAGTATATACCATGTAAATCTTCATACATCTGTATTGCTTATACGTTAAAATGTATCAAGTTCTAAACTTCCAAGTATCAAAACAGGATACAAATTGAGCACTCTACAGAGCGTCTAGGCTTGCGTGCTCCACAGAAAGCATTGAAATTTCATGATATTTACAATAAACTGTCAATGTAGTGGCTGATCTGTTATAATAACCGAAACTAATTGCCATATTTTCATAGAATTAGATATCAGAGCTGATCTTCAATCTACTGCAAAATCTTGTAAACTTAAAGAATTAGCAATAATGCTATATTGGCAAAGCAATATAGATATAATTGTTTTACATGTGAAATTACGTATCTCTTTTTAACACATAATTAACATGATTTAACTATTATATCTACATACTATTAACCTACATACTGACAGTAATGTTTATTAACATGAGGAACGATTCATTTGTGAGGTTTTTGCAACAAGAATATGTCATAATGCAAAATTGATTGCTACGTTACTTATATGTTGAAATAACGTTATAAATAAAACGTTGTCCTGCATCGTCCACAGGCGAAACATTTACTGTTGCCGAGATGTTAGCGTGACGTTTCGACAATATAATGATAAAAATGTTTGCCGGGCATTAGCAAGTTGATGCGATCGAAAAAAAACCAGGAGTATTGAAATACTAGATAGTACACCGATCGTGCCTGACGGTACTTCCACAGCAGCGCTTGAGATCGATATTTCGGCCAAATACATGATTTTTTAATATTTAATTAAAATTATCTGAATGACTCACAAATCTTTTTAATGATACTTCATAACTCTTCATACGAAATACAAACGGTACCATACCGAACCTTTGTTTAATTTACCTCCGGTTATTATTTCCGGCTAAATACATAGTCCAAAAAAGAACAATTAATTACAAGTAATAGAATGACTCACAAATCTTTTCAATTGCACTTCAAAACTCTTCATACGAAATACAAACGATATAAAAGAGTAGTTTTCCAATCGGAGTTTTTTTCCGGTCAAGTACATACGAATCAATTTGTGTGCGAAAGCCCTTATCGCATCCTGTGTGCAGGGGCCATTATTCGTGTTGTTTGCACTTTTCGCACTTTTTGTATTTAAAACTAGACAGAAGTATATTGGAATGTTTGGAAGAAGCAAAAGCGAGACAACTCGATTGTTTCTTCCAAGCTATGTGATTAGGCATCCATCTCTTTTTAAAAGCGAAAAGTATGAAATATGCAAGCAGCACGAATAACCCTTTTCCCCTAAATTTGTTAGGGAAAGAATCGAATCGATTAAGAATCGGGCATCTCTAATTCGTGCATCGACCGTTTCGTCTTTCACTCAAGGCACAGCTTGAAGCTTGACACAGCTCGTTTATTTCGTATTTACGTACGCATTGCGGGAATTATTGCATAATTTTCAATATGCAGCAGCGAAAAATTGATAAAAAAAATAGACATTTTCAAGATAATTGGAAGTATAAATATTTATTTATACCTAATGATTCAAACGTACAAATGCTTCACACAACTTGTGACAACTTCTTATTCACATTACGCACTTGTAGTTATTTATTTACTGAACGGCTCATATTTGACGACAATACGCCGGTACTAATGGCTCCTGCACATAGGACGCGGTAATGTTTGCCGCACGGCAGAAGTTCGTGTCACAGCCAATCAATATGTTGTTTTTCCGTAAGAGCTAGAAGGTTATTACGGAAAGCAGCATATTGATTGGCTGTCGTGCGAATTTCCGCCGCGCGGCAAGCATTACCGCGTCCTGTGTGCAGGAGCCATAAGCGCCCAAAGCGAACACACCAAAAGTTTTCCGATCTCGCAGCAATGGTACAGGCCTGCAACCAAAGACAGAGAGAGAGATAATTGATGAAGTTAAAATTCATATTTGCGTTATTAGGACGTTATTTTTCTAATCAAATGCCTTATTATGCAGTTGCCAAAGGTCGTAAACCTGGTATTTATACCACCTGGTAAGTAAAACAGTATAAAAATTGGTTCAACTATTTTTCTTAACTAATTAAATAAAGTGTAATTTTTTGTTCTATTTGTAAGGGATGAATGTAATTTCCAAGTTAATAAATTTCCTGGGTCAATATACAAGAAATTTGCAACCGAAAATGAGGCGCAAAACTTTATAAAAGAGCGTTCTTCTTTAAATATACGACTAAATTATACTGAAACAGGAACTGCCCAATCCACTAAGTAAATATTGATAAACATAATTTATTACTTTTCGTTGTAGAACAAGAAGGAAGTATATTACTAGACTATATCAATTGCACTTATTAAAAATTTTTAAATATATTATGATCATATGTAGTTACGCTATTTAATACAGATATTTTATCTAGGTTGCATACCTTACCGAAACAACTATCTCTACTTGGAAAAAGACAAGCTGCAGTAACAAAAACAGATGTACTATTACCATTATTATCTTCAAAAAGGACTTTATCATCAACAGGGTTATCAACAAACAATGATGTTAATGATGAATTTCCTATATATTTAAATAAAAGAAGAAAAATTTCAAACTCTGAATCTAATCTATTTACGAAACAGGTTTGGAGCAAGTAATATTTTAAAATAACTGACAAAATTATGATCATTAAATAAATTTCTAAATAAAGTAAATTACACACACACATATAAAAATAATCTTACTATTCATTTGGATTTGTATAGAACAACACTGGTAAAATTGATTTCATCATAGATGAGGATGGCTATGTGAATGTCTTCACAGATGGTGCATGCAGCTCTAATGGTTACAAAAATGCAAGAGCCGGTATTGGTGTCTGGTTCCAAGATCATCATCCTTTGTACATATTGCCTACTATTTTTGACAATCTAGTTGAGCTATATATGATTTTTCTAAAAACTATACTTTTGTAGGAATATATCTCAACCAGTGGAAGGACGACCTACTAATAATATGGCAGAGATCCAGGCAGTTACAGTGGCTGCTAGACAAGCAAAGAAAGCTGGGATAAAAAAATTAAGGATTAATACAGATTCAAAATTCATCATCTCATGCATCACAAATTGGATGCCCAAATGGAAAAGGACAGGTTGGAAGACGATCGGCAACAAGCCGGTTATAAATAAAACCGAGTTGTTGGAAATGGAAAAGGAACTGGAATCATTAACTGTCACTTGGGTAAATAAATTTAGATTTAAAAAATGCAAATAAAATTTAATAATATATTTATGCAAATAAAATTTAATAATATATTTTAATAATATATGCATAATCTAAGAAAGAAGGATGTTTTAAAAAAGGATAAATTTTGCCAACAGAATATAAGAGAAATAACGTTTTTTGACTTCTTGGATACGATAAAACTACTAAGAAGTTTGTGGTTGTGGTTTTTGGACACATCATCAGTGTCATCATTGATCACAAGATCAGCTTGAAAATAGAACAAGAACATGATGTATATTTATAAAAATTTTATCAATTTATGAAACACGAAGCATATCCATATAAAGTTAGGAGGAATGGATAGGAGGGGTACTTGGTGTGAGTGTAGTGTATATGTGCATGTAAAGGGGGATTTAAGTAACTGTGTGTGTGGGTGGGTGGAGGCTCGGGTTAGCAATTACATAAAATCGGATTAAAGAGATATGACTAGAAATGTATCCAATGAAACAGAAGATATATATGTAGAGAAGGTGTATAAAGATTTATATGTCCGTGTATATGTATGAATGTGTGAGACTAAAGAAAGGAGTGAGATAGATTTAATTAAGTCAGAATAGTAGAGCTCTCTTTCAAGCCTTTAAATCTTTTAAAATTGCTACACAACAGTTTAGATAGTGAAAAATTAAACAAGTTCAGTTTTATTATTATTCAGCAATATTTAGCAAAAAAAGTTAAGGATTTGAGGAAGCTCTATTAATCCAATCTAATTAAATCTAACTCCCCACTCTGGCCAATACATACAATCATTTCTCCCACAAATAGACTTAACCCTCTTTATCTCTCCTCTTTAAATACAAATATGCCTTTTGTTCAACTAGATGTATTTTTATGGTAAACTCTAATCTAACTTTATGTAATTTACCCAGACTCTCCACACCTATCCATCCCATGAATGTTTTTATACTCCATAAGTCAACTCTATCAAATTTTTATGAATACATCATGTTCTTGCTCGATTTTCAAGCCAATCTCTAAATACTATAAATTTTGTTAGTAACTTTTGTATTCAGGAGATCAAAATTAAAAAAAAAAAAATTATATTTCTTATTTTTGGACATAAAAATTATATTTTTGGACAATTGACCTTTTTTTAACATTGTCTATATTTTGAAAAATATCTTATATTTTACTATAACAATGTTGCAGTAATTTTTCAAAAAATGCATAATGTTAACTAACGAATTAGTTTATAAGTTACATGTGTAAAATTATGTAAATTATCTGTTTTTATCTGAAGTAAAAACAATTTTATAGAACCACGTAAATGGACATGTAGGAATTTATGGCAATGAAATGGCAGACAAGTTGGCAAGAGAAGGCTGCTTGCAGTATAAAAAGTCAGAATAGATAATAAAGATAAATATTTAATTGGAACTACAAATATATATATATTGAATTAAAATTATAAATTACTCGTATCTTATATACATATGTGTGTAATTTAAAATAAACTTACAATTAAATTCAATATATTTAGCTGAAAATTTAACATATATGTATGTGAATATATACATCTATATATATTCATCTATATATACATGTATACATATAAGTATATACATATGCATATATATATATATATATATATATATATATATATATATATATATATATATATATATATATGTGTGTGTACACATCTCAATCCAAAATAGTTTATTTTTCTTATGCTTTTTGCAAAAAATTGTTTCAGACAAAAGTTTTACATTAAGAAGTTTTACAACAGCAGTATTACTTTGATCTTGGATGACATTTTCAAAATCTGATGAAAATTATTATTTCTTTAAATAGGACTATACATATTTTTTTTGCATCTTAGAATAAATCATATTTGACATATTTCCAACAATACCAATGCACTAACTTGGGAAAAAAAAAGTTTATATATGAAAAGTTTATATATGAAGTTTATATATGAATTTTGTCTATATATGGTTATACAGAGTGTCCCGCGTAAGATGTGCCAAAAGAAAAATATAAGTAGAATAGATAAAAGTGAACAAAAATTATAGAGGTCATTTTTCAAACAACCACGTAAAATTTCGAGATATTACTTAAAATAGTTTGACATATCAGAGCGCGGCGATGCGGCAGGCGGGATATACGGTTCGCCGCGACCGACGAGAAAAATAGACGATTGCTCGCGGGCCTATCTTGTAGGCCAGAGAGATGGGCCGTTTGGCATACGGAAATGAGTAACTTCGTGTGTGCGTTCGTCCATTTTCTTCGCCGACCGCGGCGAGCCGTATGTCTCGCCTGTCGCGTCGCGCACTCTAATTTGTCCAACTATTTTTATTAATATCTCGAAATTTTACATGATTGTTTGAAAAATGACCTCTACAATTTTTGTTCAGTTTTATCTGTTCTACTTAAATTTTTCTTTTGGCACACCTTACGCGAGATACCCTGTATATGATTATATATAATTATATATGTCGACATTGAAAAGAATATTATTGTGAAGATGCAATTGAAGTAAATGCTTATGTTTATGATAGCCTATGATGTCGACATTTAATCGAATCAAAATATATTTTCTTTTTTTCATTTGACAATTTTCGTTTTATATATGGCCATATATAAGGACATATATAAGACATATATAGATCATATATAAGGTCACATATATGGACAAAATTCATATATAATCATATATAATCATATATATGTATATAATTATACATATATATGATATGTATAATTATATATAATTATATATTATACAATATAATTATACAATATGTATAATTATATATAATTTTTTTCCTGGGAATCTATGTAGATTTATTATTTATGAAATATATAATTATACGTATCAAATAATTTTAAGTTTCTAAAATTATAAAAAATGACCTGTGCTCAATACTATTCAGAATTGAAGTAGATATAACAGACAACAAGCAACTTGTATATGAGAAGTAAGGAATCTTTTTCTGAGAAAAAGCACTTTCCAAAAGAGATTAAATATATGTTATTGATTTTGGATAATGTTAAATACTATATATATGATATATGTACACACACACACACACACACACATATACCATATATAGGATATTTAACATTATCCAAAATCAATAACGCTACATATGTGTGTGTGTGTGTAGTATGTGCGTCATATGTAAATCAAAATATCAAAAATGCAAATTGAGTACCAACATTTCATTTATTAAATTCAATTATAGATTACAAACTATTTGTTCGCTATTTCTTTCAATAAATTCTTCCTTATTATATAATTAATAGCATCTATTATTAAATTAGTACATCTAATACATAAAAAATACTATTTTTTGACAGGTGGTGTAAACATGTGTGTCCTTTCATCATTAGTTATTAGCCGATTTGGAGACTGCGACAACGTTTTCAGAAGAGTATAAATATCTTCTGGAGATGCTGGTAATGCCAGTAAGTCTAACAATATCCTGAACAAAACAAAGTTATATTGAAAATTGAGTGAAGGTTAACTTATGCCCGAAGTGTAAAATTTCTTCCAGAAATTCTCACCGAAATATACGTGGTGCAGCAGAAATTCCCACTATTTCGGCCAAATCGATAAATTCTTGCTGATATAAATGTGGATACGTCATATTCATAAAATTATTTTATCGTAAGAAAATCCACGAACTTCTATATTGATCTGTTCTTTTCAGCTACACTACTAAACTGGTACAATAAGATGCGTTTTTTCGTTTCGTAACCACGATACCGTTTGATTGGTTTGTCCACTTAACGCTCGCAACGGGGAGCGTCCCGATTGACCACGGACACAACCAACCGATGAAAAGAATTATCTAGTGAATTACTAGGTTGAACCAATCATTACAATCTGTGTCCAATCGTATCGTGGTCAATCGGATCCCACCCGTAGTATATACTCCCATCTACAATTAATATATTCAATGGCTGCTCCTGCTTTAGGGCTATCGCACACAATTGACATAACTGCATATGCATAGCATAAGATCGTATGGACCAATGAGCATCGA